TGGGACTATAAGTCAGCAACAAGCTGTTATTATTAACAACTGAGGGGGAATAATCACGTCATTGTCTTAGCGGGAATGGTTGGCAATGCCTGGGGCTTGATTAGTCAGCCTGTTGGTGCTGGAAGATTGTTGCCCGTCGTCGGAGGCAGCCTGCTTATGGAGGAATCTTTTGAGGGAATCTGGCAAAGTTTCCTGGCGAAGATAATTAGCACTCTGATATAATTTATCTCGTGTTTGAGGATAACGCACCAAAGCTGCTTTAATAGTGATGGAATTTTCTCTGCGTCGAGTACTTTACCTCAGCTCTTATTACACATGTTTTAAACATATTGTTCCTCCCGCTTCGTATAATATTGGAATGGCTCCTTCCAGTATCACGTCTTTGTTTGTAAGTGGTTTGGTTGACCAGGCAAGCACCAGACAAGCCTGGACTATGGTCGGGCTCCGGGAGTAGAAAACCTCTCGAAACTCATCAAAACTAAGGTATATCAAAGGCAGGTATTAAACTTTCGTGACTACTACCGTGAGGAGGATCACAGTAGTAGTGATGGCAGGTTTCTTTGTTTCCGCTTCTGGTTTTTACACAAACCTGCCGCAAGGTTGGTAGATTAGAGACGGGTTACCGTCCTCTCAAGAGTGTCATGCAGAATTTCATTACATGTTTTGCATTCTAGCCCGACTCCTGCTCGGGCTCCGGGAGTCGTTCCACTCTTGATACTCATCAACGGTATATCATAGCACGATTCTTTGTATTTTCTTTGTACGATGAGAGGTAACTCTTAATTAAATTTTGTATATAATCACGTTTACCTATCTGTATATTTCTCAATGATGCTGTAATATTTCATTTCCCTTTTTTAGGACTGGTCTAGGACCGAGATGTGGGGGCGATGATCCCCAGAACCACTAATAGGCTATTCATGCTCACTGCATACAATCCATCGTAGGTACCACAGCCTGGCCAATCAGGAATTGTGTGGAATAAACTATTATAACGTAGCGACACGATATTTTGAGTCTTTTGATAAATGTCAAGATTTAGGTTGATCAACGCCGGGGACGTGAAGACCTCTTGTCAAAGTTGAGAAAATGATTGCTTCAAATTACCTCTTCACGTCTTCCATCGTTTATTTTCTGCATTATATTAATAAAGGCAGCGACTGGGGAAACTTGTGTACAATAAAGACACCCCAGTGTTGTACCACAGGTCGGTTTCATATACCGTTTATATAATAACCAATGTAGAGCACTCGAGGCACAGGTGTGTTGCTTAGCACCTTAACTCACTTGTAAGAATGTACACTGTGAGGCCAGCACCAACACTGTGGTTGATCAGGGCAGCAACCAGGAAGTCTAGTCTGAGACTGGGCCTCAGGGATACTAGTCCCGGAAATGTCACAGAGTAAGTTTTATAAACAGAGTTAGGTTCCTTGAACCTTGAGGAGTAGGAGGAGAGTTAGGGTTCAGGAGGAAACTTGAATCACTACATCCGCCGTGTTACAGATCAACCAGGCTATGAGAGACCTAATTACGTATATTTTGTGATTCAGTGGCTTGGATGCTGTTGTACTTAAGTGTGCTCTCAGTTTAAGTTGTGGCGTGAGGCAACTTTGAGGTACACCCGCATGACGGGAGTGGCGTGAGGCAACTTTGAGGTACACCCGCATGACGGGAGTGGCGTGAGGCAACTTTGAGGTACACCCGCATGACGGGAGTGGCGTGAGGCAACTTGAGGTACACCGCATGACGGAGTGGGGAGGCAACTTTGAGGTACACCCGCATGACGGGAGTGGCGTGAGGCAACTTTGAGGTACACCCGCATGACGGGAGTGGCGTGAGGCAACTTTGAGGTACACCCGCATGAGGGAAGCCACATTCAAAAATACGTACCTTTTCTTTGACTTAATTAAAACTAAAGGTGAGAAGTCTGGCTTCCTCAGACATGACCAATATGGCTGTTGCTTGCTCAGCTAGCTCCTTGTATTCTGATATCCAACATGGTAAACCAGTAATTTGTGCTTTTGCAAATGTCTTGACTGTTTTTTAATGTAATCTGTGTGGAGCTTTAGTAGAGCTTCAGAATAATGAGCAGTCACATCAACAGCAAGTGGATTAAGAACTCGTAACTTGGAATTCTTGCGCGTTTAGTTTTTCCCATGTATGAAGGTACGAGTGACAGCCGCGTGAAGTTTCTATCTGGTGTGTCTCCGCTGCTGGCTCTACCCCATCTTCCCAGCCACAGTCTCCAATATACACAAATAATCCGCACTTTGGAAAGAGAAGCTTATAACTACGTTTCGGTTCGACTTGGACCATTTACAAGTCACGGTCCAAGTCGGACCGTGGCAAGTCGGACCGTGACTACTCTCGGAGCCCTGGCCCATGGCCGAGCTCCGAGAGTAGTAAGACTCCCGAAACTCATCGGAGGAATCTCCTATGTGCGAGATATTTGTGTATTGTTCCAGTCACGGTATTGTGTCTTTTTGTTCTCAAATATACTTATCAAAAATTTGGAAATCAGATATTTTTTTTTTCACGTTGCCATGAAAATTTCCCTACCCGCATCTGGAAGACTGATATTGAGTTTGTTGATATGATCAAAACTCGAGGCCATGAAAGGTAACTTTACTACCTCTGACACTCGGTAGTTTCTCAGTACAAGCATTTTGTCCACCCACGGGATAGCCATCGCGCCTCTCACAACATTTTGGTGAAGTTAGCTTCCGTATCTTTGTACAGCTCTCAGAATATATGTTTTTTAATGAATCCGGATACAGTTCGCCATTTTGAGGACATCGAGAAGCAGTTCAAAATCATTTCTCACTTGTTTTTCTAGTCTCATTGATTGTCTTGGAAACAAGGGCGTCTTTGTGAATAACTGAACTGCGACACTACTTGGTGATACAACCTGGATCTTCCTCAGTGTTCTGGTCTTACACCACATGTAGTAACGCATTTGCATTTTAACCCTCGGTCCCAGATTATTCAGCGTCTTACCAGACGATATCAGAAACACTGCCGGGACGAGTGTAGAAGTCTTCAAGAGGAAACTGGACAAGTATCTTCACCAGGTACCAGATCAACCAGGCTGTGATGGATATGTGTGGCAGCGGGCCACTAGCAGCAACAGCCTGGTTGACCAGGCTAGCACCAGACGAGCCTTTCCCATGGCCGAGATCTGGGAGTAGAAAGACTCTCTGAACTCATCAGAGGTAAACACAAAGGAGCAGTATCCTCGTTAATCATAAAATTATTAGTTTTCGTGAAAAAAAAAAAACAACTCAGGTATTGTGTGTATGAACATTTAAAAGCAGCACAGACAGTGTTCAGTCCTGGACTTAGTCTCTTAATCTGGAACCTGACAGTACATGTCAATAAACGGTTTAGGTAACCGACAGGTTGATAAATAAGACTGTGTAACATTTGATTATCTTTAGTCTGGGAGCGTTTCACCACTCAGTGGCTTCTTCAGTCCAATGCACAGAAAGGTGGAAGATCGGGAAGTGTCTGAGGTAATCAGTCCCTCGGCCTGGAGTCGATGTGTTCAGTCATTACTTCAAACTCCTCCTCATCTTCCACTTTTCTCTTCACTGGACTGAAGAAGCCACTGGCTGACGAAATATTTTCAGAATAAAGATACCTAAATATTGCATTAGTGTCTCATTTATAAACCAGACAGTAGATAATCGACTGTGTTTTCCCTCCCAGGTCACCAGACAGTACATAATCGACTGTGTTTTCCCTCCCAGGTCACCAGACAGTACATAATCGACTGTGTTTTCCCTCCCAGGTCACCAGACAGTACATAATCGACTGTGTTTTCCCTCCCAGGTCACCAGACAGTACATAATCGACTGTGTTTTCCCTCCCAGGTCACCAGACAGTACATAATCGACTGTGTTTTCCCTCCCAGGTCACCAGACAGTACATAATCGACTGTGTTTTCCCTCCCAGGTCACCAGACAGTACATAATCGACTGTGTTTTCCCTCCCAGGTCACCAGACAGTACATAATCGACTGTGTTTTCCCTCCCAGGTCACCAGACAGTACATAATCGACTGTGTTTTCCCTCCCAGGTCACCAGACAGTACATAATCGACTGTGTTTTCCCTCCCAGGTCACCAGACAGTACATAATCGACTGTGTTTTCCCTCCCAGGTCACCAGACAGTCGAGCTCCGAGCAAAGATCCTACACACAATTTTTGAAGCAACTCTTCCTTCAACTCATCCACTAACATCACCGATACTGATATATCAATACCCAATTTTCGGCCGATAACCATATTTTTTCAGTACTTATTTTTAAAAATATGATTATGTTCACTATATAAGGGAATGCTTATTGCACAATGAGTATTAAATAACACAGGAAGGTTAAATATTGAATAATTTCTCTGAGATGATGTTACTACTGATTAGTTTAATGTTGTGTTAGTTACTGGTTGGGTTGTCAAAGGCAATTGTAGATAATTTGTGCTCCTACATAGTGTTGACCAGGGTAAACACTAGACTTAGCGAACAATTAAAAAGTGTTGACAAAGGTAATCAGACCAGCGATTATATCTAGGTTTCACAAATATATTAGATGGAGTGTTTCTGATTAGGATGTAGTCAACACAGTGTGCTCTAGGGTTACTACTAGTTGAGCTTGCCAAAATTGTTACTTCAATAGAAAGCCTGATTGAAAAAAACTTGTGGTCTACCTACCTACCTGGAGGGTATTCCTGGGATCAACGTGCCCTCAACCCGGTCCATGACCAGGCCTCCGTGGTACGTTAGCAGCACTGACGATTCCTACCTAGGAGGACCAGGATCGAATACATTCTTAGATTTTCAGTTTCACTAACGATATTGTGATTTTTCTTGTAAATATTAATATATCATTTACTTGCGTATATTGTTGTATTCCTAGATGCATCTCTAGTTAATGGTGTACTGTTTACTATAGACATAATTGTTTTCATTCATGTGAGTGATAAGTGTTATGTTGTGTTTCAGAGAGCGATGGAGGGAAGGCAGTGCCTGTCAAGAAAGCCAGACTACAGCTACCATACAAGAGTTGGCCTCGCTATGATCTACATTCCTCTGCATGTATGGGTGACTCCAGAGTGCTTCCCCTCAACCCGCCACTACCACCTCTCGTACCACTGCGACATCAGGGTACAGCAGCTCATCCCTCCCTGATGGCCATGCCTTGGCTGTCACCATCATCTGCACTACTGAACCGTGCACCATATGCTGCACACCCTGCAATTAGCTCCTCCTTGATGTCTCCAATTTCACCGGCTTTAGCGGCGCCCATGGGCAAGTACCCAGTAGGCCCACCGATGATGCCGATGCGAACAATGCCGTCTCCAGTTTTCCCTGCCCCACAGTCGGTGGTGAGCACACCAAGTGCAGGACATTCACACGCAAACTTATACCATACTGGTGTGGTGGCCAAACCCGAAAAAGTGTTCTCTGCCACACCCCAGACAGCACAGTCTGAGAAGCCACAGGTTCCCTCTCACACTGCAGAATCTCATCGTGCTTTTGTGCAGGCTTATCCTCATCTTGTAGCAAAGAATTCAGATTCTCCTACCCAGCCATCGGTTGCGCCACTGTCGTCAATACTCACGCCTCAAAGAAAGACATCAGACTCTTCGTGGGTCCCACGCTTAGAAAAGTTGTCAACTCCAACCTCAGTACTGTCCAAGCCTCCGCCTCTAATTCGTCTGCCTCCGTTGAAAGACGTTGTTGGTACTCAAAACGCTAAGAATTTGAATACTCCTCTCTCATCTCATGTTCCACATTCATCTTCGTCGGTGCATGAACAGTCTGTCAAGGAAAAGGCCAAATTTAATCAGGTAGAAAAGAGTACCCACTTTAACACTACATTCCATGCTCAGCCAGCTTCTGGTCCATATCATGTATCACCTGCTGTGATGGATGTAGTTGGGTCATCGAATTTCTCTACGGCTAATTCTTCTTCATCCAAAGACGTGTCTTTAGCTGTTCCAAATGCTTTAGCAAAGGCAGCTGCTTCCTCTGTTGGGTTGACTGGCTCACCAATGGTTTTCATTCCAGCATCAGTTGCTTTTGACAGTTTTAGTAATAAAGTGTCTCCACCTGCTTCTCAGACAACTACAAAGTCATCTCAGGTCAAACCAAATCTAAATGCATCTCTCTCAGCGTCATCTCTGACGCCTAATGTTTCAACACAGTACTACTGGATATTGTCGCCACAGATATCAACTCAGTCTACAACAGTGACTGAGTTGTCTGCCGTGGAACCTAGTCATGAATCCTCTCGAAAGCTCTCCTCATCCAGGACGGCTGCTCAGTTAACACCACCAACTTTAGCAGTGTCCTTTTCAAAACCTCCAGACACTGGTATTATGGCCCCGACGCCAGTCTCATCTTCCTCTTGTTTAGCATCACTCTTAAAGGCTGGTGTCCCATTAGTTCCTGTTTCATCAGCAACACAGTCTTCTTTACCTAGTGTGATACCTAATCCATACTTGTCAAGTACTCCGGTGACTACTTCCATATGCATCCCAGCGCCCATAATGTCAACACCCTATATCACAGATAATACAAAAAAGGTCTCCAAACACAGCAGTAGTACAAAATACAAGTACTCACGTCCAGGACCCAAGTGCTCAAAGAAACGACCACTTCCTCCTAACCCAGAGAGAGAGTCTACAGACCTACACACCTTCAAGAGTGCTCCAGATTCCCCACCAGTAAAATCTGGGACTCCAGGTAGCGACTCCAAGCAGCACAAGAGTGTCTTCAGCATCACAACAACCAGTGCATCTCCATCTTCATGTAGTCCGGTAAGCTGAGAAGATTTAAAGCTTTTTAAGATAAAGAGTCACTATACTGTGACTACAGCAGTTAACCTGGAAATGTAAATTGGACGACCTTTCTGTCTGTTCTGAGTTAGTTCTAATTTTAACTTGTTTACTTTATGAATTTGATATAAAATAATATTAGGTAATTTTCCTGGGCTTCAAATATTTGATAAAGCTAAATTATATATGAATTGTATACAGTACCGACAAGATGAAGTATTAGATACATGTGTAACATCTGGGTATCTTTATTTGTAGACGTTTCGCCCTCCAGTGGCTTTGGCAATACAACACAAGGACATAATGTGAAGACTGTAGAACAATATACAAAGGATGAGGTAAACAGTCTTGGAGTTGAGCACTGTAGTCTTCAAGAATCTGATACTCTTCAACTCCAAAGCTGAGGGACTGATTACCTCATGTTTTGTATATAGTTCTACAGTCTTCATAATATATCCTTGTATTGACAAAGCCACTGATGTTGCACCTGTCTAATTCTTCATTAAGACTCAGGCTGTGGGAACTTTATCTCGTACAAAGGAAAGATTGGCTATTCAATCATAAATGTTGTAGATTTGCTAGAATCGTGGATATATGAGGAAACACGAGAGTAATATTCTTACCGATTAGACGGTAACGAAAAATACTAAACCTATTTGAAATGTGGAGAATAGGCCTACCTGCCTTCCTGTTTGGAAGAAGAGGCTTCTGGTAGAAGTGGTGCTGACAGGATATAAAAAAAGGTAGTTTTCATTTTTACATTGGAGGGTTTTTATGTTTCTACTTTTAATGTTTGTCTGAGTGTGTTTCAAGCCTTGAAGTGTTTTAAGTGTTTGCATCCTCTGATATTAGTCAAGCAGTGTGCCTGCCAAGTTGGCTTTTTTTAATTCTTGGTGAGTTAATGTTTTCTGGAAGTGAGCTGGTAGACAGGGTGGCCAACGTTTGTGGACACGTCCCCGTACTCCTGTTGTTTTCACCTGATAGTAGATAATTCCTGTGTGTGTGTTGTGGGTCGCAACCTGAGGAGAGGGGAAGGGAGAGAGAGTATATCATAGATAGGAATGAGCTTTGGTATGAGCTGAGGCAAGATTCTTATCCCGTTATATAATCTATATAAAAATAGTTCAATCACATTATCTTAGATTTGGAGATTTTCCAACTGGTATTAAATAAACTGTCTTTGAGTATTATTTTTATTTTGGCGTTGTTAATAACCTCAACAAGTCAGAAGACATCACTGCAGAGCTCCAGGAGCTTCTCTCTCTCACCTCATTTGGTTATAGTAAGAAAAGTCATATTCTTATAGAAGCACTAAACACCTGTGGGTCATACAACTCCTGCAGAATGAAAGGTAATTGGGTTTGGTCCAGGTGCTTGGATCAGAAGCCCTTCACCATCAAGGGAGTTTGAGACGGTGCCTACTCGTTGTGAATTGGCCACGGACTTTTAACTCCTGGCTTCCTGGTAGGTAATGATCCATCTCCTGCCTGTGATGGTGGTGGTCGCCATGCTTGTCTTCTCTCACTCGACAACTTCAACACAGGTGGCCCCCCTCCCTGAATTTATACAAACAGTGAAGACTACGTATGTTTTGCAGTTCTATAATTTTTCCTGCCTGATCATCCAGCCTATTATTTTCATTGGAGTTGCAGTAACAACATTGTTGTGATCCTCAGTTTGAGATCTAACACTGTCATTCTCAAGACGGACTATCAGTCCTCCGCCACACCTTGCCCTGAATGATCCACAAGGGTGTATCGAAGGCGAAAAATACATCATAATCTACACCTGGAAAATTCTGGAGTGACTGGTCCGAATCCTGCACGTAAAAATCACTCCATATGAAAGGAGGAAGCTTGGCAGACTGCAAAATACAGTACTTCCAATGAAAAACGGGGGTCAGATTGGTATACTAAGAGCTCAATAAATGTAAGGAAACCAAGACTTTTCAACACCTCTGTGCATAAGGTGAATTACCAACAAATCTCTGGCTATTTTTAAGAGGGAACTTAATAAGTTCCTCAGGTCAGTTTATGATCAGCCTGCTTGTCGTGCATATGCTGGACTGCGCGCGGTTGGCACCAACAGTCTGATCTACGTTTCAAGGAGTACAGTTCAAAGTACTTCAAGTATTTCCAGTAGTTCAGATGCTTCACTGAATTTATGCGAATAGTGAAGGTTTTGTGTATGTTTTCCAGTTCTGTAATTCCTCCTGCCTGGAAGAGGGCCGTTACTATACAGCAATATTCCATCCTAGAGAATACAAATATCCGCTGTGGCTCAGTCTCTCTTTTTAAATTTTCTAGTCATTCAGCCTACCATTTTTCTTGGGGTAGCACACAACATTGTTGTGATGACCAATCCTCCAATCCGGGATCTTCTGACTATATTTTACCAGGTCACGGTGAATATCTGCTCTTGTTCCTTCGTAGTGTCGGTGTTTTTCCACCGTGTGTGGTGTTTCACAGTTTATTGAGGCAGTCGACTTCCCCCACTTAGTTTCCTCTGATATGGTCACTGTATTACAGAATGGATATAAATTCTCTGGAAAATGTACAAAGGAGGATGACAAAGTTGATCTCATGTATCAGAAACCTTCCCTATGAGGATAGACTAAGTGCCCTGAATCTGCACTCTCTAAAAAGACGTAGAATTAGGGGGGATATGATTGAGGTGTATAAATGGAAGACAGGAATAAATAAAGGGGATGTAAATAGTGTGCTGAAAATATCTAGCCTAGACAGGACTCGCAGCAATGGTTTTAAGTTGGAAAAATTCAGATTCAGGAAGGATATAGGATGATAAATTGGACACATGTGCAACTCTTGGGTATCTTTACTGAGGAAACGTTTCGCCACACAGTGGCTTCATCAGTCCATACATAGGAGAAACTTGAAGAACAGGAGGAGAATGAGGTAATCAGTCCCTCAACCTTGAGTCTATGTGTTCAGTCCATCAATCTTGAATAGAATACGGCATGTGAGCGGAGAAGCAGCTTATAAACCGTATGGCAGGAGAGGTGCAGCAGTCATAGGTGGTGTCACATTTGTTCAATGTGGAAGTAGGTCCTGTTCTTCAAGTTTCTCCTACGTATGGACTGATGAAGCCACTGTGTGGCGAAACGTTTCCTCAGTAAAGATACCCAAGAGTTGCACGTGTCTAATTTATCAACATGTCGGTTCTCTGAACAATTCATCTACAAAGGATATAGGAAAGTACTGGTTTGGTAATAGAGTTGTGGATGAGTGGAACAAACTCCCAAGTACAGTTATAGAGGCCAGAACGTTGTGTAGCTTTAAAAATAGGTTGGATAAATACATGAGTGGATATTGGGAAGGGTAGGAGAGAAGAGCTGCTAGATAAGTACAGGTCAGCTATAGATTTCATTAAGTCTAAGGGAGGGATCCCAATCATATGTAGCATCTTGCCTAGAAGGGGAGTAGGAAGTGAATGGTTGTCTAGGGCAATTGGTGTAAATTGCTGGCTAGACAGATACTGCAAGGAACTTGCAATCCCATTCATTGACAACTGGAACAACTTTTATGGCAAACATGATATGTATGCAAGGGATGGGGTACATCTCTCTGGGGCTGGGGTGGTAGCACTTGCAGACTCGATTGAGAAGGCCATTGGTGAAATGCCTATGATTTTAAACTGATAGAAGATAGAGGTATGGGTGTGTGTGGGAAACAAGCAGGTTGCAACACTAGGGTTCGAAACAGTAAATGTATAAAAGGCATTCAGCATGAAGTTATAAATAAAAACAATAGATCAGGTCAGCAAACAAAGGGGGACAGCAGAGGCAGCAAGGGACTAGCTCCCTTAAGGTTTACTATACTAATAGCAGGAGTGTAAGAAATAAGATAGATACCTGGAGGTTACCTGGAGGTTATTCCGGGGATCAACGCCCCCGCGGCCCGGTCCATGACCAGGCCTCCCGATGGATCAGGGCCTGATCAACTAGGCTGTTACTGCTGGCCGCACGCAGTCCGACGTACGAGCCACAGCCCGGCTGATCCGGCACTGACTTTAGGTATCTGTCCAGCTCTCTCTTGAAGGCAGCCAGGGGTTTATTGGCAATTCCCCTAATGCTTGATGGGAGGCTGTTGAACAGTTTTGGGCCCCGGACACTTATGGTGTTTTCTCTTAGTGTACCAATGGCGCCCCTACTTTTTATTGGGGGCATTTTGCATCGCCTGCCCAGTCTTTTACTTTCGTAGGGAGTGATTTCTGTATGCAGATTTGGGACCATTCCTTCCAAGATTTTCCAAGTGTAGATTATGATATATCTCTCCTTCCTGCGTTCCAACGAGTACAAGTCAAGTGCTTCCAAGCGTTCCCAGTAGTTAAGGTGCTTGACAGAACTTATACGTGCAGTAAAGGATCTCTGTACACTCTCTAGATCTGCGATTTCACCTGCTTTGTATGGAGATGTTAATGTACAGCAGTATTCCAGCCTAGAGAGAACAAGTGATTTGAAAAGGATCATCATGGGCTTGGCAAGTGCAGGAAACATAGATATTATTGCTATAACAGAGACCTGGCTCAGTCTGAAAGATAGAGAGATGCCCTCTGAATGTCACATACAAGGCTATAAATTATTCCACACTGACAGGGTCAACAGGAAAGGTGGTGGAGTAGCGATGTATGTCAGAGACAATTTAAATTGTTGTGTTAGACAAGATATAAAATTAGAAGCGTCAGCCACTGAATCTGTTTGGTTACAGCTTCTCGAGGGCCGAGAAAAACTAATTTTGGGTGTGATTTACAGGGCCCCAAATCTTGATAGGGAGTGCAGTAAACTTCTATGGGACGAAATTCGTAAGGCATCTACAAACGAAAATGTTGTGCTAATGGGAGATTTCAACTGTAGACAGATTGACTGGAGCAATTTGACAGGAAATTTCGAGTCAGGTGACTTTCTTGATACGATCCAGGATTGTTTTTTAAAACAGTTTGTGACAGAGCCAACTAGGGGCAAT